GGTCGTCGATTTTCTATTTGGTGTTTAATTACCTAAATATAATAAAGATGGTCTACACTCATGATATTATATCAATATACCTGCGATTAAATTTAAATTGACGAAAGGTTATGAGCATGCGACATTATAAAAAAAAAAACAAAAACGCGATGTATAACTAATAAACATCGTATATACTATATAAATTAGAAATATTGTAATAACATTTAAATATTAAATATTTTATTAATACAATATAAATAGGTACTATACTCTGTTCAGCGAAAAAAACCGCACCACAGCCCGACCAAAATATTGTTTGAACAAATGTAATTTAAATTAATGCTTTAGACTTTTTCAATAGTTTCAACCGAGTATAACTGACTTTCTTGACAATATTAAATATATCTTATTGTAAAATGATATCTACTCACTGTAACCATTTTGAACCGTCAGCCTAATCGATTATTTCAACAACCAGCTAATATTAAAGATAAGTTGTTTAGGATATTTCTTAACGAAAAACTTTTGCCATTTGGATGTCATTACATGGGTACTTTATTGTACACATTCTGAATATTAGCCAATTTGTTTAGAGTATATTACTTTTATTATGGTTAGTTGGCCCAACATACGAATCCCAAACACTTGGAAAACCGTATTTGTTATTTGTATTTCATTTATCGAAAAAAATATTTCCTAGTACTAATTTAATGAACAAAAAAAAATAAATAATAATAACACTATACGGGTAATGCATATTGCATAGTATATTTAATTATAAAATGTTTGCAGCTATACAGTGCGATTCACCGTGTATACTCACACACCTTTTATACTTTATAATTACTATGTTTTCAAACACTTTAATTTTTCGTGCAATTAGTGGCAATACAATTTTTTTTTCTTCTAAAAACAATTTTTACTTTGGTATGCGCTGTTGGGGAGATGCTTTTCTTTAAAGTGTTGATTTATAAATGTATACTATAAATAAACATGTAGTTCCTGAGTTATTAAGCTTTAAATATTAAGGATATAGTTAACTATAATTCTACCTATATTAATATTTTGTTTTGAAAGTATGAAGCTTATAGAGATTAATATTCATATTTTGCTAGATACTTTATGATTTTTATGTATTGTTCAAATATATAAATTATTAAGCTAAATATTATTTAAATAATTTTATATTTTATGTAAAACTATTATTTATAGTGCCATTATTTGTAGAACATAAAGTTGAATGATAATACCTACTAATTCACATTTATATTTAGATGGTTCAACAATTTCAGTAAAAAATCGGCTGATTATAAATTAACAAAATAAAGTAAGTGCGATTTCTATTTTAAATATAAGTTTGTATCTCTAAAACATATTCCTTAAAGGCTTAAAAGGTAATTCAAAATATTATAAGACAAAAATATTTTTAAAAATAGGCTAAACTGGCTTGTAGAGAAAGTAATCACCCTACATAATAGATATGCAAAACGATTGGTTTAATTAGTTATGTACATTTTACAATTTTAAATATTTTCTTTCTTGTTATAAATAATAATAGTTTCACATGAATATTAATTTGTGGAGGAAAGTGTTCATTAACGGCACCTCAGTAAAATCACTACATATTTTTAAATGCTCATTTTTTGCGTGAGAACTAAAATATCAATCAAAGCTTACTTGGGCTCTGGATAATATCCTTACTATTAAATTGAATGATAGTTCATACAGCCAATCAACTCTATAATACATAAATAACAGATCAAAATGGATTCTTCTTAACGTCAGATGTCTATTTTATGTGTTAGAAAAACTGAGTCAACCCGTCATTTGGGTATGACGTCTCTAAAATAAGTTTTGTACTACACCAATTGCATTATACAATTTTAGAACTAGTTCATAGGATTAATATGAGTTAATGATAATGAAAATTAAAAAATTAATATGGCTATGTATAGTGCACCTACCAATTTTTTAATAATAACTTTTTCAGTGGTCGGAATATTTTTAATTTGTATTTGATCAATCATCTGCATAAAATATAACCATATAGATACTAATGGTATGGACATTTAAAAAATTATTTTTTCCAACTATTTAAAAAAGATTATTGGTACATGTTCAGAATTACCATAATTTAATTGACTCTCAGTATTCATTCACTGTAACTATATGAACCTTGAATATTCAAATATTAGTATGAAACCTAATTAAATTTATAAATAAATAATATAATAAGAGATGTTAGTAAAGTATTTGAGATATTAATACCGATTTCGAATAATTCGATAAATGTATACAAAGGTGTAACTGCAACCACATTTCTTAGATTGAAAAATTACTTAAATTTATTTATTTTTTTTTTTTTGTTCATAAAAGTTTGACCAAAACATTATTGAAATATAATACGTTTTAAAAATTTATGGACTCGATAACTTTATGTCATTATAAAAAAAACTTTCCTCGTATAGTTTTCCTTAAAATTATGTTAAAAAGTTTTTTGCCGAGTACTTGAAAAGTTTTTACACTTTATTCTCTATCCCTCTAAATCATTATACTTGTCGTCCTTGAAGATGAATGTGAGAATAAATACAAAAATAAAATAATCGAAATTATAAGCAGTGTTTTCGAATCTTTGAGCTAAAGCGTGGAAAATGTAACAAATTATTTTGCTGTAGTGATTTTGTTGCTCTAGAGCTTATAAACAATATTTTAATAATCGAACGTAAACATTTACAAAAACATGAAATTTACAACTTAGAACTTAATTTACAGATGTATACTAGATTATATGAATTACCTATTTTATGGTTATACCCTCAAAATATTATGTAATATATTTTTATTTTAGAAAGTCCAATTTTATACTTGCGTACAAGCAGTTCTAGAATATTTGTATATGATAGTAAAAATGTGTATTCTAAATTCTAATTTCTAGTGCTTATACTTACAAAACTAAGAATAATGATCAGGAATAAATTTTCAAAATTATTAAAATTTAAATGCGCGTTGTGTGCATATTTAGTATGATATAATATTTATCGTTACAAATGGAACTGTAAGAAATATTAAAAGTTAATTTATGAAACTAATAAAAATGTAAAAAAAACATAAAAATAGCAGTGATTGAAAATAATGGTAATTTGATACCGACCGAAAAGATAAAATACGAACTAATAAAACTCGTATCGTTTATCGTAACTTTTGAACTTTTTGAAACGTATAATTTGGTCAAGCTACTATAATATACATATATAAAACCGTTTTGTAACTTTTTTTTTGGGTTGTTCATTCAGTGAATTTTTGAAACCGGGCCAATTTGCGTTTTATACTTTTATAAAAAAAAAACTGTACGCACGTCCGAGGGTACCTAAACGACGGACGACCGCGATATCTGTGCAAGTGGTGACTACCGAAAATCGTACGTTATACAATTCGATTCGAAAAATGCGTTGGTCATTTATAATGACTGGTGATTAATAACCTATCGGCCAGACACCGACGTGTGGACATACAATTGTGATGTGATCATCCGTTCAATCGGCAATCCCCAAGGGCCATAATAATGCAATTTAATCGCTCATTATAGGTTTTTGTTCGTCAACTTTTACAATAATATATATAAATATATACATTCATCAGTGTTCCTGTTTAATCTCTTATTATTTTTTTTTGTTTTTATTACAACTCTTTGTACTCGCATAAAACGGTACAGACACGGGTGGTGTAATGGGGTACGATAATAAATAGAGTTGGGATTTTGACGCATTTTCATTTTGTGTGTGTGTGTGTGTGTGTGTGTGTGTGTGATTAATTATGTAGCTCCAAAAGTGGAAAATGTGCTTCACGTGTAGTACATTGTTCATATACTAGTTATTTTGATAAAATTTAAAAGTGTATTTTTTTTTTAATTTTTAGGATATTTTTGAAGTTTTTATTTTTATTTTTTATCGTGTTGCAACTTTTGCCAACATAATAGAATAAAGTAGGTGGCAGGTACATAAGCAAAAATAAAAACAATAATATTAAGTAATAAGCAGATTACTTGATGATAAAAAGTAAGATTAAAAGCATTGGTAAATTCTCGAATAACCAAGGATCGAATACTTTTTTAATATAATTTTGGATTTTTTTTATATTTATATTATTTTAAGCTCCTAATATTTTGTATTATTCTTAGAGTTTAAAAATATTATATTTAAACGATTTATATAATGACTTATCGTTTTAGATTTCCAATGTGTTTTACATTTTGTACCTACAACGTTTTAGGAAAAATCGAATCCTAGCCTAAATAATAATAGCAACTATTGTATTAAGGGTAATGCAGTGTTATAAAGTACGTACGCAATCGAGTAACAGTATTGAGTACAAGTATTCAAATAATAGTACCTAGGTAACAAAAAAAAAACGTATTTAAATACTTTCTCAAAGTTTCTATATTTACCTATATAATCAAATAATAATTTTCAAATACTTAAATAATTCTTTTTATACTTTATATTTTAAAATACAAATTGAGAATATAGTATATAATCATATATTTTTTACTGTGAATTATACTTAACTGAAAATCAAAGTATTTGGTTAAAAAAATCAATTGAAATTTTTAAAGTTCCACCAAATGACACGGTGAGTTAACGTGAAACATGAAAATTGGTTCAGTCAAAGGATGAGGAAAAAAAATTATTTTATACAAAACTAGAAAGTATTTGAAATATACTATTTCCATAAATACTTTTTAAGAATATTTAAGTTTGTATGCAAATACATTTTAACGGAGCCTATTCAAATATGTATTTTAAATAAATTTCCAAATGATTATCTGTGCCTGTACTTGAATACTTTTTAAAAATATAGTGTACAAGACTGCTGATGTATTATATTTTTTAATCATTTGGTCAGACGATATGCCCTGAACGCACTGGCTGTTCTCAGGCGGAAAATAATGCACTAAACGGTTCTCAAAAAGTTTATTTTCAATTTGCCATCACAAACAGGATTGTGTTGTTTCCCCCTACCTGGTATGCGTTCCTGATGTTGACGACTTGCTTTGTTTCCGCCACCGTACCTGCCACCCCAACTCCGAACGGTATTTGGATTTCTTCCTCTTTCGCCTTGTCGACAGCTTCGCTCAGTTCTGCAGACATAATATTACGATGATTAAAATACGGCATAAACACTCGGTACTTATTAAGTAGTAAGTACTCATGTTTTATTTGACAACGACGTTCATCGATATTACATAGAAAAAATATTTTGTTTTTGGTTTCTAATTTTTTTCTAGGTCCAACGAATATTTTCAAATTGTCCACAAAACTTTTCTATGGACTGAAAATTCCCCACAGTCGGCATTATTATACTGATTGCAAAATATGGAGTTTTGTAAATATTCAAATATTTGACTGGGAATTTTTGAAAAACTATTTGCAAAACGACTGAAAGTCTTGCGAATGGCCGAGATCGGATTCCATATATATTTTACGGGAGACAAACTATTTGAATTATTTTACTTCGTATAATCAATTATCCATGAGACACGGCATTTCCGCGGATTATTTATTTGTACATTTTATTGAGGTGATTAATGTATCAAAACATGTTCTTACTTAAATAATAATAAAATACTTAAATAAAAAACATCTATGTTATTTCCCAGTAAAGTTCAAATGAAAATTATATTTCAAAAAATAAATTTTACATCAATAACACTCATCGCCACATTTAATACTAAGTGTGCAATCAAATCTAACTAACAATGCTGTTGTCGAATTTCAAGTAAATATTTTTTACGGATATAGGTCCAAACAATGTGAACGAATAATCACTATAATAAAGTTGTTGGTATGTATAGTTAAACAGAAACATTAATACCCGACAGTACACAACAAGATAGATACAGGCACCTATTTAAAGAAAACTATAAGTAAAATATACGACGATACCTAGGTACCATATATAATATACTATTTTATGTTTAAATTTCAGAGGTATAGGCCATAGGTAGGCTTATTAAAAACATAATATGGTTGTAAACACATTTCCTACATAAACAATAATATTTATCCCAGTAATATTCCAACTGTATAGCAATTTATATTAAATGTGCGAAGACGCAGGCATGTAATCTAAACAAATGTTTATAGAATGTTTAAATTATCAACGTTTATTAGAATAGCAATGAGTTGCGATTAAATTTGTAATTAAGAACGAAACAAAATGGTATTTCGAGAAAACTAATAATGTACGAGAATAAAATGTAGTGCAAACGAAAAGCATAATATGAATAGAGGTACATCTAAGTATAAAATAAAGTTATAGGACATTGCAAGATAGAAAAAGTGCGTATATCGTACTTTATCGTACATTATAGTCGTTAAAACCTTTCGTTATTGCCAGCCATTTCGATTCAATATTATTATCTATGGCTGCTTGTTTAGTGGGTCACAAAAATTTACCTCAAAATAGTCAAATACGTCATATTATAATTTTGTCAGAATCATAATTTAACAATAACTCTTTATTTCGATCACGAATTGAATTGTGTTTAGTTTCACCTTTTTAAGATTAATTCCGTCGACTTTTTAAGCATTGACCCACTTAATAATAAATAAAAAAATATAAGCAACACTAAATTTGAATTAAAATTCTTAACGATTAAACATGTATTTTTTTTTTATAGGGTTTCATTAGAAGAACAACATCTCAACGTAAACGGTAATGGTTCTATACGGTTTGTGTGATATCCTTTATTAACGCATTTTATACTGAAATCGTTACCATAATTGAAGCTGATGCCCTATATTAATTTGCACTCGTTAATTTAAATCGAACAAATTGTATGTGGTCATAATACAAACAAATTGTATTTGTATTGTTTTTAATTGTTACACTAGTCATTATTTTAGTTCTAATGATACATTTTTTAAATAATTATAGACACTTTGTTATATTATGACTGACATTTATTTTTTTTAATAATAAAAAAATAGTAATCATCTAAATTAATTGGTTCTTTTAAATTAAAACTTCGTAAAATAATTTTTATTTTAAATATCCTATATTTCAACGAAAACATTAAAGCTAATTTTCTACTGGCGATTTCTAGTTTTAAATAAATGTGAAAATGTTTCAGCTAATTTTTTAAAGTAAAAACGATAATTTCTATTTACCCAAAATGGCAAATGTAATTTTAATTAATTAAATAGTTATATTTAAATGGTCTTCTCGTAGTACCATCTGCAGCTGCTGTGGCTACACGATAAAGGAATTATATTAATATTATGTTTGAACATATTTTGTAACTCTGAGAAAAGCGGTCATGTTTCCGAAGAAAATAAAAACGTCCATCCAGACGTAAAACCAATATCCATCTCATTATGCTCCGTGGAATTATGTGTATATAATATTAAAATATGGAATTAAATGTAAACATGTTTATTCGCATTCTATCTGCACGCATGTGCATCTGTACTTAGTACCTACTACGAGTATAATAATATGAATACTGACAATATTTATGATGGTACCTATACTGCGTTCGCAACAATAAATCACACGACGTCAATAATTTTTCGACTAATAAAATATAGCTGTCGATCTCCTGGGTAACTTTACACCACCGCTATGTATGATGTTGCGAATGACATTTGAATTCGACGAAGAAAAAAAAATAACAATCGGAACATCGTGTTTGAACTTGCTCGTTTACCTATCGTATCGAATAGACTTTTCAACTGTAAATAAATACCTAAAATATGATCCAGTAGGATAGGTACGGTGAGTTTAATATTATATTTTATTCCATTGTTATTGTTGTCGACTATTCCGACGATTCAGCCATTTCCCCACTTATTATCAAAACACGAATATACTGAAAGTGCTAGACAACGTTTTTTGTGCATATCATAATGGGCAAATAAGTGTAGATACCCCTTACACTCAGGCGTAAGCCGCCTCCGACATTCAGAGTTTTACTCAGGCAAAAGACACTCGCGAATGCACTTTGGATAGGCTGTTAGCTATTAATGGTTGTATTATCAATTTTAGACAACTCGTGAGTATGATAATATGATTTAAAATGCAATAAACAATTGTTTATATGTACTGTTAAATAACACTAATTATATAAAGTCGTAACTCATCAATTAAGTATAATATGGGTACTTATCATAATATATCGTGTAGTCAAAATAGTTAATGATTAAACAAATTTTCGAGGGAATATTATATGGATAATAGTGCATTGATATTCTTTACCTACAGCAGATTCGAAGAAATAATAGCTGCCTATTACGTAAGTGCCGTGAAGGGGGCTTGGTAAAAATGTTATAAGTTTTCCCAGTGTGAGACACTAGGAAAGATTCTAATTTAGCTATAACCATTATTTGATTTTTTTTTTCATTATTTATTTTACTACCATAAAAAAAAAAACGTTGCCAGAATAATTATAGTGGAAATTATTAGTTTTTGGGTTGTGCACAAAAATATAGATATACTACCAATTTTTTGTGAAAAAAACACTTCACAAATATTTGATTAAAATCATTTTGGTATTTGAAATTTTTGAAAAGTTTGGTTTCGAAAAAAACATTCGTGAAAGTCATTAGGTTTTGAATTATGCGCGAAATGAATACAAATTTCACGTACGTTATATTTCCATATTTTTTCATAAATCATTTAAAAATCAATTTTTTTCTACGTTTTCTTGAACAGCTTCCATCGAAAAATCTCATGACTTGGTATACAAAATCATTCCGGGTAAAAACCAATTGTTTTGATCGACGTTTAGAGATAAGATTATCTATATGACATACAAGTTGGCACCATTTTTACTCTCTCGATAATTGTTGAATAATTTACAATATATTTAATTCAGCTATATTAACATCTCTAATCTATAAAATAATATATGTTTGATGTGCATCTTGAATTTGATGCAATTTTTATCTTATTTTTTTTTACTAATTTAAAATTACAATAGATTAAATAGTAAAAAAAATTATTTGTAATAGTTACATTTTTATTTTTTACCTCGTACATTTCTGTTGTACAAATTAAAATAAATAAATAAATAATAATTTAACATTATTTTGAATGTTATTTCTGTTGTGTAGTTTGGGTGAATAAATTACTCTTAACCAGTTATTATTTCAAAATATGTTACACACTATTTCCGAAATTAGAATTGCGTACATTATTGTCTTTGATATCTCAAACATTTTAATTTAAAATATAATTAAGTTTAAAAAAATAAACTTTTAATTTACATATTTTTATAACGTGGAGAGTATTCCATTAGTTTAAACGTATAATGATATGCATATACAACAGTTGTTATTATTTTGAACTATGTATAATATCGTACTAGTTATATTTGTTTTAACTGTGTAAATACGAAAACGTGAGGGGAAATAATAATTATTATTAATACGTTTGTCGTGTAGAAGTAGAACGAACGCATTCGAAGAGATTGATGGTCCAAAAAAATAAAGAGTTTAATATCATTTCAATAATTGTTAAGTCCCGATAAAAAAAAGACGTCTATATCTACAATAAACTAATATAGAAACCAATAACCATCAATCTCATTTCGTGTGCCATTCGCGTGCACCGTTCGTGTTTCGTATTGGCTTGTGGTTAACAAAGGAAACATTGCATTTTCCTAAGAATAAAATTGAAAACCAACTCTTGTATACCTGAAGGTTTGATTGACGCCTGTTGCACGATATATATATATGACATAGGTACACCACGTTGGTTCGGTGATCGAATGAAAAATATCGTATTTGGTCGACGTCCACGTTTGATGCATGATTTTCAAGCTTAAAACGAACGTTTTAGATTGATGGGTTTCTCATTCACACGTTATACATTAGTTGTGCCAACAATGAGCTTGACATATTGTGTAAAACAACCCCTATTTTAGTCTTTCTCAATTTAATATAATATATATATACAAAAAAATAAAATAAAAAAGCCTCGAAAGACGTTCAACGATTATCGCTTTGTCCGCCGTCGGAAGGAAGGATTCTCTCAGACAAAAGCCACATTTAATTGATCGTTCTGTTCCACGGTTTCATCCCCTGGGATTACGTTGTACACGAGCAAATTAAATAAAAGATAATAAGCAAACAGTTC